AGCTGTTTTTTTGATACTAGACACATAAGGATTTTTACGGCTATTTTTTTTAGGTTATTAGCACGTCTTTTATGGACGGCTTAATTCCCTAAAATACCCGGTAAGTGCACGGCAAATTGAAGCAGAACTTCTGTCCATATCACCTATGATTGCATCAAGGCCTTCGTCCTCAGGATTTCGCAGCTCGAATGGAGTTTAGTAGAATATTGCTAAATAAAGTGAGTGAAGACGCTACTTTCCTGGATAAGGTTCTTTTTAGCGATGATGCAACTTTTAACAGCATAGGTGTTGTCAACAGGCATAACATGCACTATTATGCGACGGAAAATCCTTACTGGGTTAGGCAAATAGATTTCCAAAATCGATGGAGCTTGAATCTTTGAGGAGGAGTTATTGGCAGACAAGCTATCGGGCCTTTCTTTTTCGACAACAGATTCACAGGTACAGAATACTTGAATTTCTTGATCGATCATTTGCCTTTGCTTTTGGAGGATGTCAACCTGCAAAGTCGGATGCATAATTATGTACTTCCAACATGACGGCGCGCCTGCGCATTATCGTAATCGTGTGCGTAACTATTTGGACACCTGGAGTAACAAGCGTTGGATCGGTCGTGATGGGCCTATATCTCCTAGATCACCAGAAATGACACCGATGGACTTCTTTCTATGGGGCTACGTTAAGCAAGAGGTTTATAGATATTCACCATCTACCCCGGAAAATATGAAGGAAAGGATTAGGGATGCTTTTCTGAACATAAGGGAACACATGCTGAGGGATGTGCAACGGTCATTTATCCAAAGACTACGGCTGTGTATTCAACATTGTGGAGATATCTTCGAGCAGTTTTTGTAGAATAGGTCTTGAGTAGTGATAGTTGTTTGTTTATGATGTTATAGTTGTTTTTCTCTATTACGCTTGAAGCTGATTTACACTGTTCTGATTGTTATTAGTTTTTACGTCAACTCTGTACTCTTTGTGGCAATATGGAAGTAGCCCACTTTTTCCATGGTTGATGTGATTTTTTTAATAACTCAAAATCTAGTGATTTTATCTGAATAAAGCCTCATACCATAAAGAAAGCTTATAAAAAATTGAATCCAAACTTGCACAAATATACAGGGTGACGCATTTGTAATTTTTGAGAAAAAGTACAATTCGCGTTTTTGGCCGCCCTGTATGAGCAAAAATGAAAACTCCAAAAGTAACAAATGAGATAAAAGCTGAGGTGTGTAAGTTTTTTCTTATACAAAATTTAGCACTCCAAATTCCAAAATGGCAGAGAGAGGGGTTGCCGAAGTGGACGGTTTTTCTGGACAAAAAACCTTACATCTCAGTAGCTAATTACCAAAGCCCCATAGTAAGTTATATAAATATTCTTCTTTTGAATTGGTTTATCCAAAAATGCAATATAATTTGAGGCATTCTATTTAAAAAATCACAACTTTGATATGTAGGTCAAAATTGGGACATCCTGTATAATTACCAATATCTTAAAAATGTGCCCTCAAATGTCATGTATAACATGCCATTAATAGATTTTCCCAAAATATATTTGGGAAAATCTATCGTGGATGGGCCAACCTGTATATATATTTATATATTTATATATATATATATATATATATATATATATATATATAACATAATTTCACCTATGAATTTCATTAAAATATTGAAGGCATAGTGTCGGTTGGTCTGGACAATCTTTACAAGATGTAAAGACACGCTTGGCTTTATTTCTGGCCTCTTTGACACCGCTTGTGTTCTGAAGTTACCATTTCCCTTAGTGGTCACTGGTGGTACACGACGGCTATAATGAAAAAAAGAATCATCAAAGCCGTCGTGTACTACCGGTGGTACATATTGAAAAAGGTATTCAAAACTCAAATTAATACACACACATTTTCTAGAAATTATATTACAGAAAATGAACGAACTGTGAAAAGGAAACGATTGTGGGCTGGTCTTAGACGGTGGTCGGCGCTACTTTAAAAGAGGAAAGGATGACTGCGGGTGCCTACCGAAGTAAATTTTTATAATAACAGAGTCGATTTCGATTAGCGATCTAGCCTGTAAATCGTTTCCTATTTTGGTACTCAGCTAGTGATCAGTTAGTATTGTTCTACCCTTATTACTGTTCGTCGATATTGTGTTGTTGAATTGTTGTGTTGTACTCTTGTTGGTGTGATTGTTCTTGAGTGATTTTTTTTATAAAGGTTGATAATAGCCAATAAAAGGTCATATGCGACAATTTTAATTACGAATTCAGTGAGTTTAATTCATGATGAGGACAACAATAGTGTGGAGCAGTTCAACCCTATAATCGCAAAATACATTGGGGTAAGCGAATAAATTATTGCAAGAAGAGGTCAAACCATGGAAGATGTGCTGCAGCTGTAGTGAGCCACAATACCGAGCGGCCTGTCTATGTGGTCCAAATACATTTGCGTTCTAAGCTTAGTCCAGCCTCGCTTATCACTAAGATGGAACAAAATCTCAAACGCAAGAATCTTGGAAAGAAACTCAGACCAAAAAAAGTTGATATAAAAATAACTAACAATTCGGATAGCAATTCCAAAGAAAATATATAATAGTTTTATGGCGAATTCTGTCAAAAACAAAAACGACATTGATTTGGAGGTTGCTATGCAAGAATTTTTAGGGAAAAAGTGACGACGAGATTTTGCATATCGAACAAGTCACCAAATCACAGGACTGTGCCTTGTGGCGTCTTCATCGGAGGATAAGGTTGACAGCGTCTCGATTTGGTGAAGTTTGAAGAAGAAGGCAGACAACAAGCTGTAAAGTTCTAGTAAACTCCATCATATACCCAACAGAGTTTTCTAGCAAGGCAATAAAAAAAAAAGGCAATACAAAAATCATTGGACACGGCAGTTCAATCTTGTGGTTTGTTTATTGATCGCACACATCCATTTCTGGCAGCATCACCTCCATCTACCTATTACAGTAGACAAGACATGTACCTAATCCAGGTATAAGCCTACCAATTTATTGCATTGCAAAAACTACCTAACTGTTTCCTCTTATTTTGACGGCATAAGATATTTTTATGACCCTCGTTCAATTGTTACCATCTTCCACACGACCCTTGTAAACATAATTGTGTTTATTGACATGAATAAACGAATTAGAATTTGAGTTATTGAATTTATTTTAGGAAAGATATAAAATTATTTGAATACAATTTTTCTTAGTCGGAACCCACCGTCGCGTCGCTTGTACTGGCAGGACGAAACAGTAGATGAATTTCGCCCAAAAACCGATTTGCACTTCACAGCTTACGTTTAATTTTTATTATTTCCAAATGAAACTCTTGCAGCGTGCTAAAAACAAAGTCCACAGGGTGCTAGCGATCTACTTTTTCGATTTTATCCACTAGGATCTTTTTAAAATATCAAGAAGTTGAGCACAAATAGTGAGCATTTCAACCCACCATAATTCTTGCGCAAAGACAAAATTTTGTAAAAAGCTCTGATAGCACTCTAGGCAATTATGGTCTGCTTATATCCAGAAAAATATCACAAACTGCAGAATACAAAAGGTAACGGCGAAATGGGTTATGAAATTCAAATGAAAGTGCAGGTATAAAATCTACCAAATGATGGTTCTCAAAAACATATTTCCTTGACATATCGATAATTTTAAAGTTCCACGCTAAATTCCCCTATACTTGACTGGAGTGATGCCCGAATTTATTCTTCCCTACTGTCGGTAGTTGCAGATCTGTTGGCTGTTGGTGTCACCTATAGAGCAGGTACCGATTTTTTGAAATCGTGAGCACAGTATTCGTCGGATTTTCGATACTTAAATTTCCTGTAATCACTGGGATCAGAAGCTTCTTAGTAATAGAACGTGTTTCACTGATTTCAACCCCCCCTTTTTAAGCAGTACAATTTTTTTATGTCAATGATTAGGAACCCCTGCAACCTCAAAAACGGAGTTTTAGCAGTTGTTACTTTTTTTACCTGTAGCACCGTTGCCGCTGGAATAAAACTACAAAGCTTTGGCATACTAGTAACCGCATGTGGAAATTTCATAAAAATCCGTGCGGTAATTTCCAAGTTGATGATGAGTGATACAGTTTTTCGTGATGTATATGTCATATGACTTAAAAAAACATAACATCTCATTTTAGAAATTTTTCGCGATTACAATACTTCCTCGCCAATGACGTGGGAAGTAAAACGGCTTTAAAATCGAGGAATATCAGCGATCGCGATTATGAGTACCTATTTGCAGAACAACTTATCTACGCGAGATTATATGAAATAGGGCCACCAAAGTATCTGAATACGTCCTTTCTTAGTCCGTACATTGCGCCGCAACGCTTGGGTTGGCAGCACGAAACGTCCAAAATACGATTTCTAGAGGTTTGCGCGCTTCAAAATTGACGCTTTATTTTTTGATATTTTTTGATGAAATTTTCAGTGTGCTGAAAACCAAACCCCACAGGGTGCTACAGAGCCACTTTTAAATTTTTTTCACTAGGTTCTTTTTAAAAAAATCGCGAAGTTGAACAGAAAAAGTGCGTACTTCAATCCATCACAAAACTTGTGCAAAAACAGAATTTCAAAAAGTGCTCCTATAGCACCCTGGGCAAATATCTTCTCAACGTACTGTATGAATTTCATTCAAAAATATTGAAAAATGGAGTGTCAGTTTTGAAGCAGCTGAACCCTTGTAAATGGCTTGAAACTCACTGCGTCGGAGCCGCCTTAAGGGCCTGGCGGTAAGCTGGTGCGAGATGGACAAACGAAAACTGTGTTTTCTCATTTCACGTACATATGTCTCCAGGTCAACAGCGGTGGCGACATCTACTGGAATCCAGTTTAACCACAGTTCCCTATTCAATTTTGACATTCCCGAAACGACTAAACAATCCTTTCTCGATTAGGATTATCTAAGAGACAACAAGTTATGATCTGGATATGTTTTGTGACAAAAGAAATGATAGCCGTATATTCGTGTTTGGATACCTTGTAGAAAGCTGGTATCAAGGACATCCATTAGCATAATAGACAAAATAGCTAAAGCTAATTATTCTTCTGGCGCACCCGCGTCTGGTATCTGCATTCAGCAATCTGCACAGTACCAGGTGAGCGGAAAACATTGCGGTGGTTCTAGGTCGCGGTACGACCGCGACGATGTCGACAGTTCAGTATACTTCGACGCGCGTTCACCTGCAGGTACACCGCGGCGTTAGATAACTTGGCGGTGGTGTGAAGTGGTACCTCGGACATATGGTACCATCAACAGCCCATGGCACAGTCAGAGAAGATGGTCTACACGGTCACGCCGACGAGTACCACCACCAAGGAAGACAACTGGTGCGAAATGTGGTGATTTTAATAATTTAACAAAGCTTGCTTCTTCTTTTGTTCTTGCTTCTACTATAACACATTGATGATACCGAGCTTTAGATCTTATCAGCAAGCGCGAAAACCTGGCATTCGTTGGAGAACCTGTTCATTTTTTTTAAATGATTCCTATGTATTTTTCTCCTCGGGCATAGTTCTGTTTAGGTTCCTTCTGGATTAATTCCAAACAAAAAAATGACTTTATGAACTTTTTTTTTAAATGTCCGTATTTATGTTATATTCATTTTAAAACATAAAAATGGCCATTTTAAATACATGTAAACTCGGTTAAATATCATTTATCCGCTACAAGTCTATAACGCTTTAGGTTTATAATCAGTGATTAACCTAAGCTCTGGAAAATAATAATTTTTTCATTTTATTAGCAAGTTTTCGTAATACAGGAGGTCATAGAAGTCTTCGTCAAACTGGGCTTTCAAAAGAAATCGGAAATATCAGGAAAAACCTACACCCTGTGATGATCATTTAGTTCGCATTACTACAAATTTCAATTTTTTCTTAGATGCAGTGACGGACAGTGTCATTCTACGAAGTGACAGCAAGATAGATGGCAACGCCACTTCAGTTAAATCGGGAGTGTATTTATCACATTGACAATAAATGTTCAAACTGCCTTCCTATAGCAGAAATGCAAGTTTGACATCTTAAAGATGATCGGGTTATCAGGCAGGCGAATCTAATCTTCCGTTATTAACAAATACAGCTTCTTCCGTTATTCTGTCCAGTAGCTGAGCTAAATGTTTGATTGGCTGAGTATACTTTTTCTTTCACCGCCTCCCAGATAAAGAAATCGAGTGGATTTAAGTCAGGTGAACGGGCTGGCGACGATTTTGTACGAGACCGCCCTATCCATCTGCTCGGGTATCACATGTCTTTAAAAATGCTAGTGGCACGTCTTCCAATAAATTTGGTGTATGATTTTGTATTGAAAAAACTCAACCGTTGGAAGACAATCCTAATCCCGGGGTTACACAGATTATACTCGCTGTACGTGGTACGGTTGGAGCTGGTTCTTTCCCAAGATTTGGTGGGCTGTAGTTTTGGGCACCCCGGCACGGGTATCACGTATCTTGAAAAGTGACATTACGCCGATTTTCTTGACATTATGCTGCTTTTTTTTTGACATTATGTAGGTTTTTCTACAAGATATTAACTTAGCACTTAGTTGTACGTGTTGCCTAAACGTCTTTGGCTCTGATGTGAAGTAAAATCTGCTTCTGAGATGGCATTACTGGAGGTCTAAGCTGTAAGTTGTATGTGTTGATGATAATTACATTGAGTTCTTATCTGAAATACACTTAATTTAGATTCAAAGCTAGAAATTAGTTGCGCATCCTCTTTTTCTTATCCATTCTGGAAAATGTACAAATTTGCTGAATTTCAAAAATGAGAGATATAAGAAATAATTATATTCACTGTACACTGTCGAATTACAAGCCATATACGAGCCCCTTCCCACTTCATTTGGCCCACTTCAAGATTTGTACCAAAATATGGCTATATAATAAACTAAACATGACGAAAATATTTACTTCTAAAACAATTTATTTTCTCAAAAACATGTTAGATACACTCTAGTCGTAAAAAATACATATTTGAAATCACTTATACCTATAACTAATAGAACATCTGAACAAATAAACAATGTGCGAATAAATGCGCGAAGTTAACAAAGCAACAATTGAAAGATTACCATTTGGTAACATCACCTTTATTTTTTATTACGGCTGAAATTCTTTGGGGCATAGTGTTAACCAAGTTTTTGGCATAAATTTCGTGTAAAACAATCCCATATTTCTTTAAGCTTTTGTCTCAGTTCGGTGATTGTACGAGCAGGATGTTGCCGTAGAACCTTTTTCATCTCGTGCCACAAAGTTTCAATAGGTGACAGATCTGGACTGCCAGAAACCCATTTCAAAAGTGGTACATTATTTTCTTCCAACCATTTTACGAGTATAACCTTTTTTGAGGTATGGCACGCTGCACTATCTTGCTGAAACACAAAATCTTGGCCGGATGTCAAACATTCTTCCATCACTGGTAAAAGCGATTCTTCTAAAATTTCCAAATATTTGTTTGTACCCACATTTCCATCAATAAAATGAAGTTTTCCTACTCCTTGTGATGACATACTGCCCCAGACCATAATGGATGCTGGAAATTTCACTTTTCTCTTCAGACAGTCAACATTTGTTGAGGTGTCCATTGTCTATGTTCTTTAGCCCATCTAAGCCGGTTTTTCTTTTGCAGTGGAATTAATAGTGGCTTTTCTTTGGCCTATAAACTATAAAGTTGTGCAACTTTAGGGTTTTTACTTCACTTTTTTTTTATAAGAAAACTTACCTTGCAAGTGCTAAATCCCAGTTTGTGGGCCTCTCTATGAGTTGTGGACCTCGAAATTCTCCTTCCAACAGCGTCACTCCACAGAGCACTTAATTGTAAATAATTGGCACGCCTGTTTTTCACGATTATTCTTCTTAAGGCGGCTCCGACGCAGTGAGTTTCAAGCCATTTTCAAGGGTTCAGCTGCTTCAAAACTGACACTCCATTTTTCAATATTTTTGAATGAAATGCATACAGTATGTTGAGAAGATAATTGCCCAGGGTGCTATATAAGTTTTATGATGGGTTGAAGTACGCACTTTTTCTGTTCAACTTCGCGATTTTTTTAAAAAGAACCTAGTGAAAAAAATGTAAAACTGGCTCTGTAGCACCCTGTGGGGTTTTGTTTGCAGCACACTGTGAAAATTTCATCCAAAAATATAAAAAAATAAAGCCTCAATTTTGAAGCATGCAAACCTCTACAAATCGTATTTTGGACGAATTTTGTCTACTGTTTCGTGCTGCCAAACCAAGCGTTGCGGCGCAATGTACGCACTAAGGAAGGACGTATTCAGATAATTTGGTGGCCCTATTTCATATATTCTCGCGTAGATAAGTCGTTCTGCAAATAGGTACTCATAATCGCGATCGCCGATACTCCTCGATTTTAAAGCCGTTTTACTTCCCACGTCATTGGCGAGGAAGTATTGTAATCGCGAAAAATATCGAAAATGAGATGTTATGTTTTTTTAAGTCATATGACATCTACATCACGAAAAACTGTATCACTCATCATCAACTTGGAAATTACGGCTCGGATTTTTATGAAATTTCCACACGCGGGTACTAGTATGCCAAAGCTTTGTAGTTTTAGTCCAGTGGCGACGGTGCTACAGGCAAAAAAGAAAAAGTAACAATTGCTGAAATTCCGTTTTTGACGTTTCAGCGGTTCCTAATCATTGACATAAAAAATTGTACTGCTTAAAAAGTGGGGGTTGCAATCAGTTCTATTACTAAGTAGCTTCTGATCCCAGCGATTACAGGAAATTTGAGTATCGAAAGTCCGACGAATAATGTGCTCACGATATAAAAAAATCGGTACCAGCTCTATAGGTTTCACACCAACAGCCAACAGATCTGCAACTACCGACAGTAGGGAAGAATAAATTGGGATATCACGCCAGTCAAGTATAGAGGAATTTAGCGTGGAACTTTAAAATTATCGATATGTCAAGGAAATATGTTTTTGAGAACGATCATTTCGTAGATTTTATACCTGCATTTTCATTTGAATTTCATAACCCGTGAAATGTACCCATTTCGCCGTTACCTTTTGTGTTCTGCAGTTTGTGATGTTTTTCGAGATATAAGCAGGCCATAATTGCCTAGGGTGCTATCAGAGCTTTTTATAAAATTTTGTCTGCGCAAGAATTATGGTGGGTTGAAATGCTCACTATTTGTGCTCAACTTCTTGATATTTTAAAAAGATCCTAGTGGATAAAATCGAAAAAGTGCGGTGACACCCTGTGGACTTTGTTTTTAGCACGTTGCAAGAGTTTCATTTGGAAATAATAAAAAGTAAGCTGTGAAGTGCAAATCGGTTTTTGGGTGAAATTCATCTACGGTTTTGTCCTGCCAGTCCAAGCGACGCGACGGTGCGTTCCGACTAAGAAAAAATGTATTCAAATAATTTTATATCTTTCCTAAAATAAAAACAAACAGAGGTAAAAGTGCGCAGCAGCTACTAGTAACTTGAGCTTGTTTCGGTTACTTGTGCAGGTCTTTCTAATTCTTTTATTCTAAGTTGCCGTCATTAATTTGCAAATAGCGATAAATGTGGAGAATATCACTTTCGCAAATTGTGTCCAGTATATATCCTGTAGTAATGCACGTCATTTAACGTATTTTACAGCTATCCCAATGGGTGTTCATTCCTAAAAAAATGAAGTTTAATTTACTTCAAAAAATTACGATGCGCATTACCTGTCCCGTGCTCGTGCGCGCTGTTAAATGCAAAACCAGGCTGATGTACGATTGCACCAACATGAAATTACGCATTAAATTTTTATAATAATTTCTGAGTTATCATGCAACATTCAAAGTTTCCATTGCCGTATTTTATTTGTCAATAATTGCAGTAATTTATGTTATTCGCGCACTATTTGCCGTCTGTCCCCGATCGTACCACTGGCACCCCCTAGTGCATACTGCCGAGCGGGCCCTTTTCCTTAAATCCGCCACTGGTCCGTCAAAAAGTATTTTTAATCAAATTTGCTCACTGCTCAAGCGTGCGCGAAGAAGTTTTTCTTAGGTACATCAAGCTGAGCCCATAGGCAACCAGTCTTGCGCTCTATGAACTTACAGTTAAATCAAAGTTGACGAATGCAGTGCTGCCAGTGATTAGCAGAAAATACCAGTACGGCATCCATTTAATATGTGTGCATTACAGATTTATCTAAGAGATTTGGAACTTTAAAAATTGGTGGTCGAACGAAATTCGCCTGGGGGGGGGTCATGACCCCCATGAGTCCCCCCCTGGATCCGCGCCTGTTACATGGAATACTGGAATATATCTTAACACGATTTAAATGTAGTTGAGCACTCAAATAATCTAAAAATGTATACAAAACAACAGAATTGCATTCCATGCTATGCGAATATTTATTCATGCAGTGCTTTTTAAAAAGGTCTTCCCCTATTATTTTTTGCATAGATCAGTTTAGCGGGCTTGAATTCAGAATGATGAAAACGTCCATGAATACTATATTTTAGCGTCTAAGTGGCAGTTGAACATTTCAACATGGCGGTTGGGCGACATCTTCGAGCATTTTCTTGAATGAAAAGTGGGGTTGTGTGATCTATTTTGAAGCTCCCTACGAGTAATTTATAACACCAAAATATAAAATGGCAAACTGGTAGTCCATCATAGTTGAATCGTTCATAACTTCATAACCAAATAATCAATGCGCTATAGTATGTTATTTTGTTTTTGAAGGACCTATCCGACTATATACGAACATTCTATTTGCAAAAAAGTTAAAGTATGTCAAAGTGAGGGGATCTTGTTTAAAAGCACTTTCACCTCGTGATTTATCGATTTTATTTCAGTCAATTTTTTAAATTTCTATCAAGGAATTCAAAACAATGAGCAAAATCCTATTCACGAATGAGAACAGGTTGCTGATTATTTACAAAGCGAGTCATAAAATATGTCATAAAATATGCAATACAGAAATGTTTGTATAAAGCAAACAGAACATAATCTCAGTAAACCTACGTATATGTTTTTGGGCAAATACCCAGTTTTATGGAAATAATAGACTATGTTTGTCTAGAATAACTACATTTATCTTACCCATGATCCAGGATATGTGGAATCTTGTAAAATACATTACTGAAAAATGCCCTTTCTTACATCGACTCAGCATTTTCAGTGCAAAAATACAAACTACGAAAGAATCCAAGGTCCTATAAAGATCCAAAAGACAGAGACATAGTTAAAAAAAGCATGCATTATTGATTTTTCTTCTAAAGGGGTTGGAATAGGGTCAAATCCTGAAAACTTCGAATTGATTGTACTCAGATATTTACTTCGTGTTTGTTGTATAAAGAAATTTTGTCACAGTTGAAACTTGAAACTAAATAATAGAAATATTTTTTTAAAACATAGATATGTTTGGTTTTCAGTGAGGACCCGCCATGGAAGTTTTGGAAGAAAAGAAGATATGTCGTAGCTCTTTTAGCATTTTTCGGGTTCTTCAACGCTTATGCGTTAAGAGTGAACTTGAGCATAGCCATCGTGGCTATGACAGAATTCAAAAACGTAACTTTAGAAAATCAGACTGTGATAACTGTAAGTATATTTCATGCATATTTTGCATTAGTTTATAAGAAATGTAGAAGTTAAAGTAAATTGTGGTGTTTTTAGAGCCGAGAATTTGATTGGAGTACAAAAACTCAAGGGTACCTCCTGAGCTCATTTTTCTACGGATACATAACGACTCAGCTAGCTGGAGGCTACCTGGCCTCCAGGATAGGAGGCAAAAGAATATTTTGCTTAGGCATTGGAGTTACTGCTGCATTGACTCTGATTACTCCTTTCATTGCTGCTAATGTGACGCTTTTTCTTATAGTGAGGATCGTGGAAGGAATTTTTGAGGTGAGTATCTTTTGTGTTAATTTGTGACCTAATTCTGGATGATTTCACTTATCCATCGTTTTTAAACTAAGCACTGTTATCAGTGAATTTGGTAAATCATTTGAAAAAATTAGAATAACAAAATTGGTGTTCGAATAATATTCACGAACTTTGGTATACCCTGAACAACAAAACTTTGAAGAAAAAAAATGATTTTTGGGATTCAAGTAATTGTTCAAAAAACGGCGAATAAGGTTTGTAATTCTGGTAAAAAAATGTATAATATGCCATATATTGACATTGTCAAACCTTAGTTCAGAAAAACAGTATTTCCTAGGTAGGCCTTATAATTATCAGATAATCATTTGTTTCGTATACCAGATCTATTCCAAAATAATGTGTTAACTTTCCTTACAAGTTTTTCAATGTCAATGTATGATATACATTTTTTGAATTGGAATTAAAAACTCTATTCACCTGTGCAAGAATCCAATATGGCGACCTTAAGAAAAACAAGTGGATGCTGGAGGACAAGAGACGAATGTCATATTGATATTCTAAAATATGTTATCTTGTATAGGAGAAAAAGTGTCGATTAATGGGCAGTTTATTTTGGAATCCCGCTACAAATAAAGTCAGGAAAAAATTAAAAAGGTTTTGGGAAAATTCGGTTTTCTCCGTTTCTCTCCGGGAGCGGTACTTTGTTAGCTACCTAAATACACAACTTTGCCCCCATCTAAGCAACTTCGTATATCTTATTGTTCCTAGTGATCCTAATGGTGAGGGTCAAATTTGATACACCCGGTATAACATCGATGTAACTGCAGCCTCTCGTTTGCTATTGCCATAACAATTACGATGATACAGATTAAAGCAATAATGAATACTCATTTTATCTATCAATGTCGCTATACAAATTGTTGTTAATTTTTACGAGCGTAGAATTATTCCCATAATGCACTGCAGAACTTACGTGATGTGTTTTCTGTTACCCTCTCGCTATTTTCATTCTTCAAACACTACAAAAAGCCTGAATACCAGTGGCCAAAGTGTGGCTATAGAGATACATCTGCAAAAAGGAGCGTATTATATGGATGTGACATATGCAAACATTCTAGCCCTAGCATCAATCTTTGTCGGCTGACGGAAAACCATGTACCACCTAAGCAGACAATCATAACGATACTGAAGGCGGGACATTTATTTTTTCCTATAGATCAGACTAACTAGCTAAAATTGTATAAATGGCTTTCACAACGGAATTATATTTTTAAATGCAAATGTTTTCCGTCATGAGATACCAAATATTTTGCTTGACAACTTTTTTATTAAACGTCAAAGCTGGAAAAATCACTTTCTCGTACAGTATATATTCAAGAAAACTGTGAGATATTGATCTAGAGAATGAAATGACCTTTATAATGATACCTCATTTGTACAATTTCGCTTGCGTAAAAATGACTATATCCATAAAAAAATAAGTGCTGGTTTCCAGAGTATGTTGAGCATTTTTTATTTTCTTCGTCGATCGCTACAAAGGCTCCAGTTTCGGCTACTATTTTATGTTATTTGTTATGCATTTTTTTGTAAAAAATATACTTTGATATCGGTGATACTTTGCTGATATCAAAAATGAAACTTTTAAAATCTTCCTACAACCCCGAACCCCATTTTCAACCCCTACAACAAAGTTTCTTATAGGTGCATGGAATTACCGGCGCCGAAAGCCTACGGATACACTACTGCAAAAAAGTGAGATATATCGTCCCCCAGCCTCTACAACCCTCAATTTTGAAACACAAACATTTTTCTGTAAATGATCAGGAGTCTACGAAATGTCGTTTTACGTTCGTAGCCCTGGCGCTACTTGACCGATTTTCAAAACGACTTTTCTCCTTTGACATAGTAGTAACCTTTTTGAAAAAAATCATCAAAATCCGAGCGAAACTTCTCAAGCTTTAACGAGCTCAAGGATAAACGGAGAGACTACAGACAGACGCATGTCATATAATATCCAAGACATATCTCACTTTCGGTATTTTTCATAATTACAATACTTCCTCGCCAGCGGGAAATAAAAGTAAAATTTTGTGTATCTCTAGATAAAGAAGCTTTTTATTTACCCAGAATGATATCATTCTGTTGAAAAATTTATCTATAATTTTTTTTCTGAAATTCTCGTATCTACTATACAGGGTGTCCGCAAAGTTAGGGTTTTCCTTTTCAGAAACAACTACCCTTGAAATAACAAAGGTAATGTGTAGTGAAATGAGGGCGACCAAGTAAAAAAAAATAAAGGAAAAAGTACTCACTCTCCAGGTGACGAGAAGGGCTAAAGTACGTCTCTGCCCGAAATCATACCGCTCCAACAGAAAATGAAATCAGCTGATGCGCTACCGAGCAGACGCAGAAACCACATTGATTGTCTTACACTTAATGGCACATCTTCTAACAAGGAAGGCAAAATGTTGCGTAAAAAGTCTAGGTATTGCATCCCGTCCAATCGATTTGGGAGAATAAATAGTCCAATGAGCATACCGTTCACCATGCCAGCCCAAACATTCACCGAAAATGTTTGTTGGAAATGTGCCCGACGGACAGCGTGCGGATTTTCTACTGAACAAACATGAGTGTTCCGAAAGTTATTCACCCCATTACGCGTGAACGTAGATTCGTCTGTCACCAATATGCACTTCAAAAAGTCCGGATTATTGTCATGTTGATGCAACAACCACTCACAAAACCGCACTCTTGCTGGAAAATCGTCAGGTTGAAGGGCTTGTACACGTTGGACGTGAAACGGATACAGCCCCTCTTCACGCAGCGTTTGCCACACTTTAGTTTTTGATACTTGCACTTCTCTAGCCACGTCTCTAGTGCTTGTTGAGGGATTCTCGTCTACGCGATTACCTCTACACGCGTGACCGTAACCGTCGGTTGAAGGTTGCATACTGACCTGACACACTGACCCCGACCCAGTTCTGTCGTCGGGTTGAGCCAGTGACCTTGTACCAGTCTGTGATGTCGCGGCTACAGGACGGTATTCAGATATTTTTGATGTTGCAGAGCCCTTTATCTCGGTTCCCTTAAGACATTGGTGTATATGGTACTAAGAAAAATTACTTATGTTTTCAAGATCTACACGTCGTGTAAAGGAAAACCCCAACTTTGCGGACACCCTGTATAGTAATCGAATAGTAATCGACCCTTCGTAACTAAGCGCGGTTTGGCTTCTTTTTTTCGAGCCGTATAAAAATGTTATTGGAGTTAAGAAACAATGCTTGACGATGGAACGTCATGTTCGCATCGTAACAATCATTATCCAATCGGAATAATTCATCCGTGATTGGATAACATGAAAAAGTTTGTTGCGCTGTTGGTTGGAACCGCAGGCGTCACAGGTATTTTGTTTTCTTGGATCAGTGAAACAATTTCATCATTTAAAAAACATAATGTTCCATTCCAATATAGTACAACATATTTAGTACCTACTTTGTAAAGGAGAAGAGAATGAGAATCGATTTTGACTTAATTTTGACGAAACGTTACTGACTTGTAGGTACTTTACAGGAGAAACCTGTATTCACATCTGAATCATTTCCTGGGATTCTGCCGAATATCAGATTATGATTAAGAGTGTGCTTTTCACTTACCACCATTTTGAGTTTGAGATATGATGGTTTTCGGTAATCCTTGACCCCGCAATGACTAGAAAGGCGCCTGTCGGATTTTGATGTTTTCACACAATGTTATTTGGGGTTTTGGGCCATAGAGGATATGAGGCTGTATATTGCATTTTTGGAATCAATGAAAGACACAATATCAAACACATTTCGCATAATATTTATGGCTGTGACTCCAGCAATAGCAGCTATCCAGGCACTCGCGACATCCTTTACCTGCGAATGGTCCGATCCGAAATCAGCAACGCCGACGGTGCTCCCAGCCATCGAGGTCGCTGACGATCGGTGACGATGTAATAATACCAGGGCGTGTATGAAAGTTGACTCGGAGACCCGCGATGCATGATCGAGTACATAATTTCAATTTTTTAAATCAACACTGTCGTTTTTTTTCACTGATACTCATCCTACTCTACGGTTTTATGTCAAGGTGCAAGGATTTTTAAGGCCGTCGAATACGAAGAAAACAGAGTGTGAAGAAGTTGACAAAATCAACCTTCTTGACGCAAATTTTTTTAATATTAATTCATTCTTGATATTGATAAAAGATTTGTCTGGTCGTACTTATGCTTTATAAGTGATTTTTTTAAATCGTCAAATAATGTTTTAAGTTGGTGCTGATTTTAGGCACCACAGTTATAGTATCTACATATGTAATATCAGACAATTATACTAAGTGACATATAAATCCGAACACCCAGTTTAAATGGTTTTATTTTAATAAAATTTTGTATAAGTACTTCATAAAGATTTCAAAATGATTGCACTGCTTTAAAGCCCTTTGACCTTTAATAATGTGTGGATGCACCCTGATGTGCTACGCATTCTCCAACGCGCCTAGGCATGCTTCTGATCAGGTGGTCAATGTCCTCCTGTGGTATTTCATTCCAGGCAACCACCAACTCCTCTCGAAGTGCTTCTAGAGTCTGAGGAGGACGTTGCAAATTGAGCAATCTCCTACCCATCATATCCCACACGTGCTCAATTGGGGATAAGTCGGTAGATCTTGGTGGCCATGGTAACAATGTGACATCATTATGTTGAAAGAAGTCTATTGTGACTCTTGCAACATGTGGTCGGGCATTATCTTGTTGGAAAGCTGGATCTGCCAGGGTGTCAAGATAGGGTAAAAGATGGGGTTCTAGAACTTCGTGGATATAACGCTGCGCGTTCATGTTACCTCTGATGAAGATTAAAGGTGACCTGGAACCATAAGCTATAGCACCCCAAACCATAACTCCAACAGTGTGATGAACATGTCTTTCATCAAAAAACTGTGGATTCCTCCTTTCACCACGTCGCCTTCTAACCCTGGCACGACCATCGTGCAAGCCTAAACAAAATCGAGACTCGTCACTAAAGACAATACTGTTCCATTCCTGATCCCAGAGTGACCGTTGTCTGCACCACTCAAGGCGATTACATCGGTGTTCTCGAGTTAAAGGGAGGACCCAGTGTGGCCGGTATGAAAACAAGCCAAACTTCTCATTCGTCGGTAAACACTTTGCATGCCAATAGGTCTTCCGTGTTCTGCAAACCGGCCAATAATCTTAGGTGGCGATCTTCACGGTCTGTTGTTCTACGGCGGCGTCCAGTGCCCGTTGCTCTTTGCGTACGGCCTTCTCGAAGCCATGCCTGACAACACCTAACCACAGTGTCTACACTTCTTTGCACTCTAACTGCAATTGCCCGAAAAGAAAGTCCAGCTTCCCGAAGTCCCACTATACGGCCCCTATCAAACTCACTAAGTTGACGAAATCGTACAGGTCTCGTACTCTAGGCATCGTAACCGATCGTAAAGGATGTCAAGAACCAAAATCCGCCAACGTTGATTCTTTACTGCGGCTGAAATATTCATTTTTAGAGCGTTAGTGAATTAAAAAAAAGCAGTATAAAAACCGGAATGTCCAACTGATAAAGCTGAAAATTTTTTCACTTGTTATTTACAGTAAGATAAATACGTTCACCAACTTTTATTAAAATAAAACCATTTAAACTGGGTGTTCGGATTTATATGTCACTTAGTATACTCGTATTTCCACATTACTCATAAAACATACCTTGAAAATTATGTTATGCAAGTCTTTACAGCATCTAATTAATGATAGAATATTTGGAGTATTAACAATTCCCTAACAATACATGGGTAATACGTGACAAATAGAGGAATGTACGGATTAGAAGCATTGTGCAGGCCACGTGATCAATTTATTGATGTGTGGTTGTATTTACAAATATCATGAAAAACTGAAAATTTATAGGTTTCGTTAATTTTACATAAATATTCTCCATAAACGAAATGAGGCAGGAAGAATTTTTAAACATTAAAGTAAATGCTTTTATAATAAGTTCAGCATATCGCCTTGTCAATATAAGGCGGGATCTCGAATATTTATTTTGCACTGCTTATCCATACACTATCCCAGCAAAATATCCAAACATCCTATATATTCATGTATGTTGTCCCTCAGACAAATTCTATTATTTTCAGCCTAAATGAATAATGGTTCTTAATGATGTGGTGGCTTAATTTCCAGGGCGTCACATATCCTTGTATGCACGCTGTTTGGGGGAAATGGGCCCCACCTTTAGAAAGAAGTCGCTTAGCAACAATAGCCTTCTCAGGAAGCTACTTTGGAACAGTGGTTTCGATGCCACTTTGCTCCTACTTAGCTGCAAGTTTGGGATGGCCCAGCATTTTCTATTGCTTTGGTTAGTATACAATACAATTTTTTATTCTTATTCACAGAATTTAATTTGATTCAACTATTTTGATCAAATTTTGTATACGGTTAGATGTAAGCAAGTCGTAGTTAAATTTTAAAGTGAAACCGTTCACTTTATCGCCAGATTTCGCTTATAATGTGTGAGGCTGCCTTAATGCCTTATATGTGCATTCGTGTCTCATCTCAAACTGGCAGCACTTGATTCCGAAAAAATTACACCGTTGCTAGATAAAGAGGTCACTTTTCCACCCATCCTATCGCACACATGTTTAATGGGCGAGATATCTAAGGAAGAATGTTGATTTTACCGTTATTGTGGTATTTTAACTTACATCTAGCAATGTGGAGACGACCATCATCTTGTTAGAAAATAGGGTTCTTAGGGACTTAAAGCAACGTTGAAAGATGAGGTTCTAGTATTCTCTGAATATGCCGTTGCGAAGTTATCCATCTTCTAATTGAAACTGGAGGTGACTTGGTACCATATGTAGTGAGGTTTACATCAGGTGTTTCTCCGAGGTAGCTCCTGACTCGTGCTTGTCCATCATGCATCGCAAAAACAGACTTGAAGAATCGAGAAAATTGGGATGCTGAATATCAGAATATTGTTCTGTTTAGTAATGCATCATGGACGTTTGTTAAATATTTGTAGCGATACATTTTATAATATTTAATAAACATATTTCTTATTTATTCATAAAATATACCTACATTATAGATATTTGTAGTATATATATGGTTCATATATTTTTGTGATATTTTTTCCAAATATTTAGAAAATAATGAGGACATATTTTTAAATGTCAGTTTTACATTTTGATGAAATACCTAATATTTTTCGTAAATATATATCTGATACATATTTTCAGTGTATATAGAAAATTCTTCATTGGTTATTTTAGCAAAATCTGTAGGAATGCTTTTATAAATCTGGGTCTATAAAGAAAATTCATTCTAATTTAATTTGGTAGAAAAATATCATTAAAAAACAATCTAAGCCTCTTCTGCATTATGCAAATCCACTCCTCTGAAAAAAAAACAAACTTACTAATTACACTGAAAGGCTATAATACACCTAAAAGGACCCCACATTTTCTTCCTATGAGACTTCCAAATTTTGTTAATTCTCAAGAAAATTTAGTATGTTATTTTAGATATCTTGATGAAAAATATCCATGGGCATAACTTGATCCTTTGACTAACTTTCAAAGAAAAAGTTTTCAAAAATAGACCTGTTATTGATTTTGTTTTCTCTAAACTACACAACATTACATGATAGACTTTTTGAAGACCGATTTCCCAGAAGTCATATGCGAGAAGATCACAGCCAAGCATCCTGACCTGTACTCTTCTTTCAAAGTTGGTATCTATGGTTCAAATACAAATAAGTTTTTGGATCCAAGTAGATGGACCACCGGAACGTGGATTAATAAATTTTTTCACATAAGAACAAAGAAAGCGACAGACGCATAGCTTCAAATGAAGATAGTTATATGATCAAGGCGCGGGAGACCGAGGTAAATGGAATGCGAATATGCCATTTAAATGTCAGAAGCCTCCGAAATAAAGTAGATGACTTGGATCTTCTTCTCCATGAAATCAATTTTCCTGAGGTTCTATGTGTTTCTGAAGTTTGGTGTGATGCAGATGAAATAGGTAACATTTATTTGACTGGTTATGTTCTAACTGACTATTTCACCCGGGTTAATAAGAAAGGAGGTGGTGTAGCAATTTTTATCAAAGATTGTATCACTTTTAAAGTGAAATCAAACAAGGTAATTAAAACAGAATCTATGTTTGAGTATGCGTTAACATCTGTCAAGTATAATAGTAATAATGTGACAGTCGGATGTATTTATCGATCACCTAACTCAGACGTTTCTGCATTTTTAGATTATCTGGATAGCTTCATAAGTGTTTTGGGTAACAGCGCAGTATTTATATGTGGAGATTTTAACATCAATTTTGACGTAGGCATTAATGATAAAAATGCTGTTGCATGTAAAAATATATTCAAGTGTTATGGTTTTGATCCTCTATTTTTTGATCACAGCCGAGTCCAAAATAATTCGGGTACTACAATAGATAATATTTGTTGTAATGTCGACTCGCTGCGTTTGAAGGCTGAAGTTGTATCATGTGACCTATCCGATCATTTTTACAAATAGCTGAGCTAATTTTTGATGAGTCCAGCATGTGCTCATACAGCAATTATATACCAAAAAGGTGTTTTGATGACGAAAATAATCTGTACTATTTTAGGCTGTTACTCTCATATCAGGACTGGGGTTGCTTGGAGAACCTGGAATGTTGTGGTATTAAATTTTCTTCATTCCACGATATTTTCATAGGTATAATGGATAAGGCATTTCCGTTAACTAGCTTCAAATTAAGTAATAAGCCCATAAGAAAACCTTGGGTGAATGATAACATTATCGAGGAGGGTATACTTCTGAGATATATCCATGCTGCTTATAAATATACAGGGAGTGCAGACTTACACGAACGATACAAAACTCTGAGTTTATACACCGACGTAAAATTCAGGAAGCTAAAAGCAAATACCATGCTGAAAAAATCCAAAATTCCTCAAACATGCCTAAAACTGCATGGAATTTAATAAAACTACACAGTGGGTCTAGGATTAAGAGTCCAAACGTTAATTTTCTTAGACATGATGGATCGCAGCTCGTTGGCAAAGAGTTAGCTGACTCCTTTAATAATTATTTCTTGGAATCTGTGCAATCCTTAACACAAAATCTCAATCTTGATACTAGTACCAAGCATATCGCTAAAAATCCTTTTTCATTTTTTCTTCATCCATTGAATCACAGCGAAACCATAAACATTATAAGTGAGATTTAAAAAAAAAACATCCAGTGGCGATGACGAAGTACTCTCGCTGCTAGCAAAAGTAGCAGACCTATTAGCCAAACCAATTTGTTATCTTATTAATAACTCTTTTACTGATGGCGTGTTTCCATCAAGACTAAAAAAATAACAGTTATCGTCCCTATTCACAAAAAGAATGATGTAACTGTCATAGCCAATTACAGAGGAATTGCACTTCTCTCTGCGTATTCTAAGGTATATGAGAAAGCCAGACTTGTTCAATTTATTTGCCAACAAAACTTACTTAATTCAGTGCAGTTTGGATTTATCAAAGGACGGTGCACTCAAAATGCTGTTTTATCATTATGTAACGAAATTTCACAAAATGCTGAAAATAAAGAAACAACAGCATGCATATTTTTTGATCTCAGTCGTGCATTCGATACAGTTAATCACTCTTTGTTGTTGAATAAGTTGGAACAGTATGGTATAAGGGGTGCGCGTATAATTGGATTATTTTGTGCTATCGGGGATCACCTGCATCATATCGTAGCAGTTATAGTTAAGGGCGCCATCAAAAAATTCGTGTTCAGTCTCTTCTAGTTTTCATTAGAGGCGGTATGACAGGTAATACATTTCGTCAAACGCTTGAGAGCTTTGTTTTTCAACAAGATAATGTCCGTCTCCATGTAAAAGTCACATCTGTCTATCGACCACCATCATCAAACCCTTATACATCTGTAGAATATCTTGAAAAATTTTTGTTAGATAATAAAAATGCCATACAGTCACACCATAATATCATAATAGGAGATATGAATATTAATATACTCCAACATACCAAATTAGTAAACAAATACCGCACTGTAATGCAGAGCAATGGATTCATATCAAATATAATTTACCAACAAGAGTAGTCAATAATAGTTCCAGTTCTTGCATTGATCATTGTTTCATGAAAAATTTTTCAAATTTCTTTCGGTACATACCGTTAATTGTTGAAAACCATATTACCGATCATTTACCCACTGTAATACTTATATCATCACCAGAAAAAAATAAAAGTAGATCCATCTCCAATAATGAAACAGTGAAATTTAGGTGTTTTGTCGATAATAAAAAACTACTTGCAAATATCAAATTAGAATCGCGGACAGCAGTGTACTGTGCAACGAATGTTAATGATGCTGCAAACACACTCATTGAACGCATAAAATATTTAATTGAATGTAGTACAAACAGAGTTAAAATTAAACATTTTGACAGAAGCAGGAATCCCTGGATAACTAAAGGTTTGATAAAGTCTGCCAACATAAAAGAGAAACTATACAAAATAATGAAAGCATCGCCATGTGCAGATACCTCCCATAAATATAAAGAATATAAAAATATTTTTATCAATCTAGTTAGAGAAGCAAAACGCCAATTCTATCTAAAAAAATTACACGATGCCAAATCTGATCCAAGAAAACTGTGGTCTGTTGTCGATCACTTAACTAACAAAGACGTTCAAGAAAAGCCAAATATTGATGAAATTAAGAATCGTGATGGAACAATATTAACAGAACGAAAAGTTCACAAAAATCCAACTTCCCAATTCATTCTTTTTAGAAAGCGTTAGTCCGATTGAAGTACAAGAAGCTGTCCTATCACTTAAAACCAAAAAAAGTCCTGGTGTAGATGGTATCAAAGCTGACCATTTAAAAATAATAGCCTACGACTTAGCCGAACCACTTTCTTACGTCATTAATTGGTGTTTCCAATCTGGAATTTGTCCTGATGCATTTAAAACAACTGTTATTACTCCTGTTTATAAAAGCGGTGACAGAATGGAAACATCAAATTATAGATCCATATCAGTACTATCGAATATAGCCAAAATTTTCGAAAAATTACTACAAAAAAGGATATTACAATTTTTGGACAAAAACAAAATTATATGTTCTGTCCAATATGGATTTAGAAAAGGAAAATCTACTACAGATGCAATTTTGGCTGCAATGGATGAAATTAACTCTAATGTCAACAAAAAGATACCTACTATTGGTATCTTTGTTGATCTAAAAAATGCCTTTGATACGGTTAAGCATGTCGAGCTTCTGAAAGTTATGGAAAGATTGGGATTTAGGGGAGCGTCACAAATCCTTTTAAAAAATTACCTTTCAAGTCGGGCACAGACTGTCAAAATCACTAACACTTACAGTAAAAAAATGTACATCAAGTGTGGTGTGCCTCAAGGAACAGTACTAGGCCCACTATTATTTAGTCTCTACTTAAATGACTTATTCAAAATTAACAGTTCTGGAAAGATTATATGTTTTGCAGATGACACCCTCGTATTATATAAAGCTGATGACTGGAGCACACTGAAGCAAATAGCTGAAAAGGATTTGATAAGGATCATTGACTGGTTTGATACTAAAATTTTAACAGTTAACTTCAAAAAAACAAAATTTGTTGCATTTACATCCTATTCAAAATTTTTACCTACCTTCGAACAAATTTCCGTTAATTATCATGGCCAAAAGTCCAAAATCGATAGAGTTAACACTTTGAAATATCTTGGAATATTTATAGACTCACATCTAAGGTGGGATAACCATATTAAATATGTTATCAAAAAAATTAGAAATGTTGCCTATAAACTCAAAATGCTTGCTAACATTCTTACAGAAGGTTATCTGCGAATCCTATACCATGCCTTAGTTGAAACCCATATAATATATGGCATCACAGCCTGGGGTGCCGCCTGCAAGACATATATTTCTGACCTGAATATAGCACAAAAATGTTTTGAAAGCCATTTTCCATAAGCCAAGATTATATCCAACGAACAACTTATATCAAGAAACAGGGATACTTGATACAAGACAACTTTATTTCTTACATGCCACCACCTTATACCATAATTATTGTAATAAAAAGAAAAAATCCTATAAACACGAGCATAACACACGATTTCGAATAGGCTCATCTAATATCCATAGACCACACAAAACATTATTCAAAAAATCATTTAAATTCTTAGCAGCTAAATTATATAATGTAGTACGAAACGAAATAAAGATACTTAATTTTGGAAAAAAATTTAGAAGAAAATTGAAAGACTGGGTTAGTAATGTGCAGCGAATGACTATACATAATTATATGGAAAACTAAAACTACAAAATTCCAATTACATTAATATCTTTTAGATTTAACAATAATTGTTATACACATATATGATTGATTGTTAGTTATTAAGATATAAACCACACACAGGCGATGCGTTCTGTGGTTTTTTCATATTTATTTGCCCATTTTTTGTATTTTGGCGAATAAATATTATTATTATTATTATTATTATTATTATTATTATTATTATATTGCTAGATCTGCAAAAGGCTACCCAATAACAAACAAAACAGCGTCCTAGATCTCGAGACCTTACGCACATTAGGCATGTGTGTGTTATGAATGAAAGAAACGTATCCTCTTCACCTCATCCTCCACAAACGCAGCTTGGGATGAAATACCTCAAGAAGACATAAATCACCTCAGCAGAAACAAGCCCAGACAAATGGTTGAATTTATATGGCATTAGGGTTACGTACCACATTTTAAAACAATCCAGCGATACAGCAAATGTTTCCATTTAAGACTTTAATCATTACTTCCTTTTGCTCATGTCTAGCGATATAGAAAATGTCATTCAAATGAAATAATTTTTACTGGATGTTCTAAATAAATATTTTCTTTGCCATATAGTATGTTATATATAATGTGTTCAGCATTTACATAAGTTCAAAGGGACCACCACAGTTTGGGGCTTAAAGAAGCCTGCGACATTAAAGAAACGTTATTCGTTACATATTACAACCCCTGTAATTCGTGCAGCATTTTGTCATGGTGTATTTACGACTTGTCCATATTCTTCTTACAGGTACTGTTGGTCTGATCTGGTGCGTCATCTGGACCATAGTGGTCAAGGATTCACCTCACGAAGATCCCAAGATATCAGAAAGTGAACTGAGGTATATCACAGAATGTTTGAAGGACACTGATACCAATAAACCGGCGAAAATTCCTTGGAAGTCTTTTGTTACCTCGATGCCGGTATGGGCGATAACAGTATCACATTTTTCTGAAAATTGGGGATTTTATACTTTGCTGACGCAACTTCCGAAGTATATGAAAAGTAAGGCAATTCGTATCTTGTTGCTGTAAAAAGAATTTTTATAATTACAATTATCCTTGAACTATTGCAGACAAGTTTATTCAATTGATTTGTCGTTTTAGATGTCCTTAATTTTGAGCTGAAGGATACTGGTTTTATGTCAGCTTTACCATATCTTGCCATGTGTATCATGACACAATTTTCTGGACAATTTGCTGACTGGTTTTTGGTAAGTATAAACTCACAGAGACATGCAGCGTATATATTTAAGAGGAAACTAAGTATGTTAGATAGAATAGATAAGTAATACGACTGAAATAATGGGCAACACTGCCTTTCTGTCAGACTCTTAACAAATTGGGTTGATGAATGTAGTTCTGCAAACTTGACGCATCTAATGTAACTCGTGAAACTCGTCATGTGGTTTTCATGTTCACAGGACTCCATTGTCCATGAACGAAGTACAATGACAGCATCCTTGTTACTCAATATTATCGTACTATAAACAATATTTTAAACATCTAGCTAGACAGTGGAGTCCTATAGAAAAATCTATTGGGGAGGAAAAATCCTAGTAATTATTTCACTTTGAAATGCAGAGATTATAGCAGATATACATACAATTTTGCAAGTCTGGAAGTCTAAGTAAAGGCTGTATGAAGTCTGGAGTTGACTGGTTGACAATATTTTCCTTTTTAGGTAAAAGGAATATTAAATACAACGCAGGTGCGTAAGGTTTTCAACTGTTCTGCTTTCATCGCTCAAACAGTCTTCATGATGGCCGCAGCTTATTGGCTCTCGCCCGTAGGAACTACCTTTTGTTTAACTATGGCCGTTGGACTTGGCGCTTTTGCATGGGCTGGATTCAGGTAAATCAAAAAAAATTGAAGAACCTTGACTGGGAAGCTCTGAAGTTAAAATGTCATTTTAAAAAGCAAGGAAATTGCTCTTAAAATGTGGCTCAATCATACAAGTATAAATTACTGCTGAACGACAACATTACATTTACTTATTTGAAGCAGTCAGAGAAACAGTGATACTTCGACTGTTTAATTTATCGTGATCAACATACTTTTGGTTGCTTCTACTAGAAAATATCTATCCATATTCCAGTATCAACCACTTGGATATTGCCCCTCAATACGCAGGCATCTTGATGGGTTTTGGAAATACGTTTGCAACATTACCTGGCATTGTGAGTCCAATTTTGACAGGATATATGGTTACAGATGAGGTAAGTTATACTAGTTATTGATCTTTTACAGATTTTGAATGAGTTAGGTATGTAGTCCAATCGAACGGATCAAGATAAATGTTTTTTTACATTCTCGAGTAAGTATGTGATATATACATACATAGAACGGTTTTTATTTTTTTACTCAAAAATGGCGCATCGAAGGAAAACAATTCAAGAGAGATCATTTGTTTTAAATTGATCGGGGATTTCAAAAATAATTTTTATTTGGCAAAAACTATTGACGTACCATTTTTTTCTTAAAAAATATCGAAGTCAATACTCGTATGCAAAGCTAAAAATTATTTTTGCATTGAAGAATATGCAGCTTTATTAACTTTCACTACGTACTAAATATGAGTGAAATATCTCAAGCGGTTCTGAAAATATTAATTAATTTCCATTTTTTTCCAAAAACTTCAACACCCCGAGTTTTTGTAAGGAAACATTTTTGGATCAAAGTTTATAAAGCAAACTAACATTAATTTTCGATGTAGATTCACACCCTTAAATATTCGCATACCATTAAGGAATACCCTGTATAATTTCGAAAGCTAACGCGTGTCAAAATTGCTCCATAATCCAAGTGATCTTTCGATAAAAGAGGAGCCGATTCTTAAAAAGATTAATATTTATTGTTCCTGCTATTGTTGCCAAAATTAGAAACAGTTGTTGTTACAGTATTTTCTCTCCAGTTGTTGGAAAGTGTTTCGCCATTATACTCTACTGGTACGGAACCAGAAAATGATTGATAACGAAATCGGGATTCAGTCCTCAAGTACTCTGTAACAATTTTTTTGGAATGTTTCCTATAATTTGCAAAATCAAATAAGCGGGAAATGACGTACTTTCGACCTAGGTATTCATAACAAAGTAAAATTCGTTATTGATTGTGGAAAATTTTACCTGACATTCATATCATTTTGAAAGAATTTGTATAAGTGATCCAAATAAAATAATAGCGAGAAATGTCAAATTCCTTGGAGTTTTTGCGCTCTTACGTGAAAAATTCAACGTCAATTTTGAACAGGATTAGTGCACCCGAGTTTTGGGGGTGCGGGATGCCACATGTCAGTAAGCGGAGTGGGATCCCGCAAGAGTGCGGTTTTTATAGAAGCTTATGTTATTGTGTACTATCAAAATCAGAAAGATTATTATCCCAAATTTATTTTACATTTCAGACCAATGTAGTGGAATGGCGCATAGTATTTTACGTCTCTTCCGGAATCTACCTGGTTGGGGCTGTTTTTTATGGAACATTCGCATCGGGAGAATTGCAACCATGGGCAGTGGAAACTGTACCATTGAAATCATATGACTCAAGGCGACGAAACGATGAACCACCAAGTTACGTGAATAAAAGCTTCCAGCAATCCGATGAAGCTTACAGTTGAGCTTAGGCTTTTCTCATGAAGATGTTTTCATTCAGGATTATGCAATCTTTCGTTTTCTTGTTGATTGTTGACCAGTAGTCCTTTAACTTAACGTAAAGCCTCTGAACTCGACAGTATCAATCAAGTAATTATACGTAGGCACCTATGTGTGAAAGTACAAATTTGCCTTTATCTTGTAGTACTTTGATGAATGTTAGGAACGGTATTATTGGAGGAAACTGCTTTATAATTAAGAATACATTTATTTGGTCCCATACATTGGTAATCAATACAACCGGATTACATGTTTTTATAAAAAAATATATTTCTCTTATAACTAATACAAATAGACATATTACACAACTACGACATGAAACTTGTAAAAAATGTATATTCATCTGTACTAGGTGTAAAATATAAAATATGTAATAGAAGGTTGAAGTACTGATATAATCTTTCCTCAAATTCCTGCTTAATTTCTTGAATATGTGGTAGATACGCATACATTTTGTAAAAATGAAACTCGTTATTATCGACGAATCTATAATGTGTCGTCACATGATATTTGATCTGCTGTAAAATATTACAATAATTAGCATCATTTTTACACTGACGACCCTCACGGTAGACTCAACCAAAAGGTACAGTGCTCCTAAATTTTCAATACCTTTCCAAAAAACAGCTGTACACCGCATCCATAGTCTCACGATCTTCTGTCTAATGAAGTATTATTCTAGTTCTAAGAAATAAATTATGTTTGGATGTGTCCTCTACTTCAAACCTCTAAAATATCCAATTTGCTTGCTGCATTTGAATTACCTTTTGTTTCTTTAGATGCATTATTTTAGGTAGATCTATAGAATATATTTTGGAGGTATGTTGAGAGCTTTCATTCGTTGAAAACCGTTTAGACCTTAATATTCTTCTCCTCCAAACTGCCCCCAAAATTATGACCATTAGGTACTTAAACCACTGAATATATAGCATCTTCAGTTTTGATTTGCGATACCAGAACATATGAGTTTTGCTTCAGCCGATATACGTGTTGTTCATCAACGAGCATATCCCCATAAATCCTTTATCCTTTATTCCACAACAACCTCTTAAAATTCCCCTCAACCCTTGTTCCCGACGACTCTCTTTCTCCTATAAGTGACTACTTTGTAGTCACTCTCATAAACATCAGGAATCTCCATCCTAACCACATCATTGAACACCATGTGAACCGTATTGCATCCAAATAGGCTTTTCTCGTATTCAATCAATTGTTTGAAGAATCCGCAGTTAGGTCTGATCCTCGGCCGGCTTGATTTTACCAGATTGTAGGCTTCGAGGAGGGAGAGCTTGAAGTGCTTCATCAGGTAGGCTATGCAAATGGAAGCTGATCTGCTGACCCCAGCTACGCAGAAAACTAGCGTCCGGCCTCCCATTGCTGCTACCTGTAAAAAAAACAATACACGTGAAATTCGCTTACTAGCAGTAAAGTGGTTGGTGTGAGTCGGCGCACAGGGGTATGGGTACAGTTATGCTGTATTTATGAAAAATATAATTCATACTTAAAAATTTTGCCTTCGGGATTTTAAAAATGAACTTTGTATTAATAAGCAGGAACAACACAAACAAGGGCGGATTCAGGATTTCGTCTAGGAGAGGGCGCAAACGATATTTGGGGCTGGTAATTTTTCTACCTCAGTGGAACTTCTAGAATTCATCCTGTTATTGCTTCTTAAATCTACTGTGTTCTATCTGTTCAATGCCGACTTGAAAAAAAAATCTGGAAAGTGCTCAGAAATCGTCAGAAAGGCAATATTTTATTATATGAGAACAAAAGAATTACGTGGTATTTATAACTAACTAGTGTAATGATATTAAAGATTAAAACATAAAAAACTTCATTGCTCTGTTAACCAAAAAATACATTTTGAGGGACAGCGAGACGTATCCCAGCCATTCCACACAAAACAATGTCTTTGATGGCGAAAACGAACATGAGACCGAAACATTCACATTATCGTATGGACGCTAGACGAGACAAAGAAGGATGTTTATAGACCATCTATAGATCGTGTCTTGAGACCGTCTCCAGACTGCCTATAGACAAATTGTGCAATAGGGTCTACTAGTGTGTACTAAGCTTAAGGATTAATACTCTGGACTACCAGTTAAACAAATCAAGTACTTGGTGTAAATACTCACAATCAAGCACTTCTATTATATCAGCAGGTGATAAAAATATCGATAGGTATAGTCAATTATTTTTTGAAATACAATATAGATGTTACAGTTATTCTTCAGACTTTCGTTGTCATAAATGTATATTTCCAATGTTGCGTTCATCTAACATATAGTCTAATCATGTTAGCAAATTTCCCCGAAATAATTGCAAAGTCCGGTTTTATTGGTGCAAGTTGTTCAAGGGCGCATTTTAAACATGGACGCATAAAATGGTTACACCAACTTTTATGGGAAAACAATTTATTTGACAACAAAGAATGAGAAAGTGTTTTTTGGAATTCAATCGAAAGTGTTGACAGGTACGAAAAATTATTTATATAAGATTTTTAGGTATATATGAGACCTACAGAATGATCCCACACGTGAAAAGATCCGACTAATAGCAAAAATGTTATGGTCGAAAAACCAGGCACAATGCAGGTTTTGGCACTTGATGGTAATGCGACGATAATTTTACGCAACTACTTGAAACTCTTCAAATCCGTAGGATTCATACTTCTGAATAACAACAGCAAAATTGGAGTATAATGGTCAAGTAGTTTTTTGTGAATTTCTAATTGTTTATCCCAAAACACCTGTTTTCCGGACATCACTACTTGTTTATTGAGCTATATACAGGATTAGTTCAAAGAGCATTTTACAGCAAAATACACTAATTTACCTTGCCGATATGAATTACAAACCATTCCGGAAGATAAATGTTATTTTTATGCGAAAAACAAAGGTTACGATTTTTTCTTCAAAGCAAATTCAAGCATTTCGTATTTGTAAGTAATTGAGCAAATGCGCTACGATATTCGAAATACATACGTTACTATTGTTACACATTTTAAAACAAAGCGTATGTACCTATCCTCTTTTGTTGCGAGTCCCTCACAAATACGAAATGTTTGAATTTATTATAGTACAACATCTGCCCTACTTAATCTGCAAGACAATATTTTAAGTGCCTTAGATAAGAAAATGGCACTAGCCTTAATCTCTATAGACTATTCGAAAGCCTTTGACAGCTTCAATCATGAATTATTACTTGCTAAATTAAATTACATAGGCCTTGACAGTGTATCCCTTTCATTTTTCGACAGTTATCTTCATCAAAGAGCTCAGTGTGTTTTTCTCAATCAAGAAATGTCTCAAGTGACAATAATTCCCTCAGGCGTACCTCAGGGCTCTGTATTGGGGCCGCTTCTGTTCCTCATATATACGTTCGACTTAAGCAAAAGCATTGATAATTCTCATGTCCAGTCATTTGCAGACGATACGCAATTGCTTCATTATTTTAACCCAGATAATGTCAATAATACTACTCAAATTTTACAAAACGATGTTAATAAATTAATTAAATACTCTTTAGATCACAATCTACTTATTAATCCACAAAAATCTAAAATGTTATTATTTTGCGCACAAAGAAAAACATACAATGTAACTCAGCTCTTGAACATTCAGATAAATAACCAAATCTTGCAATTTTCTGATTCTGCAAAAATTCTTGGTGTTGTTTTTGATACAAAATTAAGGTTTATTGAACATGTTAAAAGTCTATCTCAGAAAACCTACCTACGGCTGCGCACTCTTATAGCAAACATGTATTTACTAAATTTTAAGTTGCGTAAAAAACTATGTGAAGCATTCGTCATATCTATACTAAATTATTGTATAATATCGTATACTATACTTGTTTAGACAATTTCACTAAAAACGTTATTCAAGTTATTCAAAACAATTGTATACGATTCATTTTTGGCTTACGTAAATTTGATCATGTATCAGCGAAATATCCCGTTCTAAACTGGTTAAAAATTAATGACATGGTCAAGTATCACTATTTAGTTTTTGTTCACAAGTAGCTGCTCACGTCTAAACCTTATTACTTGAAGGAAAAAATTTCATTTAATAATGATGTTCACTGTAGAACTCTCAGAGAAAATAATATTAGAATACCCCTGCATACGTCTACACTTTTTAAACGCAGTTTTTCTTACAATGTTGCTATTATTTATAATGACCTTCCTAAAGTATACAAAGTATTTTCATTACCTGTCTTTCGACAACAAGTTAAACATTATTACTCAACCCTCCAAGCATATAATTTACGTAATCATTCATTTCTTTTTTATTCCATCTTTAATTCAGATTAATAATTTTTTGGTGCATTTGGGTTTGGAAAATATGCCTTTTTCTCTTTTTTTTTTTTTAAATTTTACTTTCGATGTAATGAACCAAATCTGTTTGTGGATAGTGTCTTTTGAACATCTGCTAGAGACTATATGGTTAAGTGTAAGAGTAACAGCATGCTAAACTTCGCCATGTAAGTCTGACATTTGGCTATACTACAATGTAATTATGGATAAATAAAGACGTCTATTATTATTATTGTTATTTAGAAGAAAAACGTATTCCATATTTTTTTTGCATAAAAATCACATTTATCTTCCGGAATAGTTTTCGATTCATATCGGCAAGTATTTTGCTACAAATTGCCCTTTGAACTAACCTATGTATATTGAATTTGAAGAATTTCAAATATCTGCGAGAAACCGTCGTCGCATTGCCAACACGTGCCAAGACCTGCAGTTTGCCTCGGTTTTCGGCGATAACTTTTTTACTATTAGTCGGATCTTTTTAAGTGAGGTCTCATTTTGTAGGTCTCATAAATACTTAAAAAATCTTATAAGCAGAGTTTTTTCGTCCCTGCCAATTATTTAGATTGAATCCCAAAAAACACGTTTTCTCATTCTCTGTTGTCGAATAAAAAGTTTTTCCATAAAAATTGGTGTACCCATTTTATGCGCCCATGTGAATACCCCCTTGAGAACATAATTCACTTTTTACGTGCAATCTGTATAGCTAATATTGGTTAGACTTATATTTGTCACAAGTCACAATACTCGTATATACGTATAAATCGTAAGAATTGTGCTGTAAACGTAAATGATGTCGAAGAGGGACAGCGTTTGGAATACCAAACGATACCAAAAATCGCAATGCCCAGTTCCTATAGCTATAACTTATAGTTAGTATGCCTCTGTCACCATGATGTGTCAGAAAGCAACACAATGGTGTTAGATTTTTTAACATTTTCGTTGACATAGATCCAAATCTTTCAAACTCTAGAGTACTTTCTCATCGTGTCCAGAATGATGGTGTGAAAGTTTGTCAACTTATTAGACTTAAATAAAAGCTAATTATCACAGTTCTTCCGTTAAAGGAGTCCAATACAATATCCTTAAAAACTACCAAAACTAGAACAACATAATATATAAGGTGATTCAAATTGGGTTTCCACATTAAAACTATTTAAACACAGAAGAAATTGAAAATTATAAAAAAGTATGTATTTGTCCTTTCAGGGCAGTTCATTACAATTATACTTGAAAGATCATATCAAGTAAATGACCGCCGCGGCTCATGTGGCATGACGTAATCCGTTTCGAGAAATTTTCGAGTACTCCGTGGCATAAATCAGGTCCTATGTTGGTAATTTCACGTCTGATCCCCTGTTTCAGCTCCGCAATTGTGTTCTTGTAGACTTTGCTCTTGAAATACCCTAAAGAAAATAATCTAAGGGAGTTAAATCACAGGATCGCGGCGGCCAATTGATATCGCCGTTACGTGAAATAACGCGACCTGGAAACTTGCTGCGCAGTAATTGTATCGTTTCTCCTGATGTGTGACCTAAGCTTCAATTCCTGTGTTATTTGGACTCTGTATGGGTGTAACTTCAAATCTTTTGTTAAAATCCGCTGTATAGTGGAATAAGTAAGGTCCAGTTGCTGCGATCGATGACGAATCGAGATTCTTGGATTTTCGGCCACACTTTCGACAACAATAGCAATATTTGTGTTCCGACCGACCTCTACGAGCACGCCTAGGGGTGTTGGTGTTAGCTACGGATCCAGTTTGCCCGAATTTTTGCACCAAATTCCAAACTGTCCTCTCACAACGCCGATTTTGTGCCCCAAAAAATTCACGTAAAGCACGAAATGTATTCTTTCTTGATCGGCCGTTTTCATTATAGGCTTGAATAATTTTAACACGTTGTTCGGTCGCATATTGCTTCATGACTGTTTTGTTTAAATTTTGACATTAGAAATGGCACGTTGTCGTTGACAAATTCAGTGGCGTTTAAAAAGAATTTATTTGTAAAGTGGATACTCAATTTGAATCCCCCATTATGAATGGTGTCTGAATAAGAGCGCCGGAT